AAAGTGTCATTGTGATCCAGCGCGTATACCTAATGAAGTTTTCTATCCTCTCTCACTTCTCTTGCCCTGTACTACGCCAACGTTCGCGAGCACCTCACCCTCATACCATAAATCCGACCGAGACGATGTCTGCGAACAACACGCTACCACCTCCTTACACGACTCGCCAACTCCGCCGTTACACCCGCTACCCCAAACTCTACGCCGAGCGAAAATATCCGCATCCCTGCCCTCCCTCCAGCCAGCCCAGCCAGCCATTCCGGCTCATGAAGCTCCCCCCTGAACTCCGCTGCATGATCTACGCCTCCGCACTCGCTCTACCCTTCCCCATCGAACTCTGGCCCGAGACAGACAATCCCATCGCCTCGCACCAAATCGTGACCGCCAATCGCAACATGCAGTACCTTAAAGCCAACATGCGGCGATGCGGCGTGAACTTGAATCTACTGAGAGTGAGCAGACAGGTAAGACATGAAGCTACGTTTTACTTCTACAGAGAGAACGAGTGGCGCTTCAGCGGTATGAATGGGTGGATGGTCGCGAGTGCGTGGATGTTTACAAGTGCGTTCATGTTCACTTCAAGAGAAAAGTATGCGTGGCAGTACATCAAGTGTATCACACTACCATTACCGGTCCAATTCACGGTGCAGCAGCGATTGAAGAAAATTAGACCGGCGGTGAGTAAGCGCGCGGACGTCAGACTGGCTAAGCAGATACCTTTCGACGTTCCTGATGTGTGGGAGTATGAGAGTAGTGTTAGGGACGTCTGTGTCGCGTTGGGGAAGTGTATGAATTTGGAGGTGCTGAGGCTTGTGCTGCCAGGGTGGTGTGATATGGAGGTCGTTGAGGAAGGGGTGATGGAGGATTTTGTTGGACGGATTGAACGGTTGAGGGGGGTATTTAGCAAGGGAGTGTTTAGGAAGGGATTGAAAGTACAGGTAGTGAGGGTTAGTGGAGTGAAGACGACAACTGGAGATTTGATCACGGCGGACGCGAGGCAGGAGCAGTATATAAAGGGGTTCGTGGAGAAGGGATGGGAGGTTAAGACGGCGAAGTGCGATAAGTTTGGGAGGTACGATGTTGTGGACAAATGATAGGGGACAACGATCCGACCTGTCGGGGTTACTCTATCATCAAGACATATCCTCATCTCAAGCACAGGATGGCGATGAAATTAAACTGGATTGATCTTTCTCTGGCGCGTAACTACCGATCGGGTCCTCTCCTGATCTACGAAGATAGTGACCGTTCCTCTGTAAATTGCATCGGGAGAGGGGTGTGGCCTGAAAGTGATAAGCTCACCGCTATCTCCTCTCCGGTCTAGAAGAACATGCACATCCACGCTATCAAGCTCAATGCGTTCTTATGCGGACGCATGCCGACAGCCTAGATGGACGATTCGAAATCTACTCCTTCTGTGATTGGCTGCTGCGGCACCAACGAACTCGGATCTTAGGGGCGTGAAATGACTTTGGTGTTCCTAAAAGTGCGATTGAAGATCTTTCGTCACACTGTTTCAGTCTCGCAAAATTTTCGTGTCCAATCTGCGCTTGGGCATCATCGCAGCGGTCAAGACGAGTTGTGCATTGCTTCCTCTAGCTGACGACGTGTACAATCGAGCTATCTGGGTGAATGCATGTTGTTGCGGTACGGTGAGGAACTGAAATGGGATGATTCTGGACCGGGCTATCATCGTTGCTTGTGCCGTGTCGGGGACTTTCGCAATCGGGAGGAAGTGGAGACGCGCAAAACCCCGCGCCACATCCCTGAGCCACATCGTTACGCCACACTTGTGCGGTCCGCTGCTGCGGCCCTACATGAAACCTGGGCAGTACATTCTCACTTTCGATATTACTCCGTCTTGGACAACACGAATTCGCATCTCCCAAGCATAGGTACACAGATCTAGAGATCGCGAAGGACCGAACAAGGGTCGTCTCGACGCCGGATGCAAATTGGCAGTCGTGCAATCGGAAGACGACTACCCGATCGCGACAAGCGAAACACGGCACGACACGCGCAGTACCCACGACTTCACGACTCTACGTCGATCAGTAATCGACGTGCCATGACACAGTACTACTAACTACAACAACATGTGTATTCCGTGGATGGGCTGAGCGATCGTTTGACGACCAGCCTTGGACGTCGTCTCGAGTCGCAACGCAGGTAACCTCCAGGGCGGTTGGCGTCAGCCGGCTGCATCAACCTGGCAAGCAATTCCTGTCAGCGACTCTTGAACACGCGGGATCCTAATCAGCGTGGTGAACAGAGATACACCTGGGAATGACACCTGGGCGTCATGCACGACACCTGTTTGCGCGACATGACGTGCCAAGGCGCCTCGAGCTGGTGTTTTACGCCCTCCAGGAAGCGTCGCGATTGGCGGAGATATCGAAAAGAAAGTCATTGAAACTATCTCACACTCTAGCCAGATTCTAGCGCAAGGCTCGCCCCGTGACACGAATCGCAAATGTGTCTTGGCAGGACCCCAATGATGTTCCCGGAGAAATGCTTGACTGGCCAGACGTTTTCGAACAACGAGCGGAAATTTCAGTTCTCCTTGGCGTTCCAGATAGGTGGTTACGATGTGGATATTTGAGCGGTTTCATGTCAAAGCTTGGCATTTTGGCGAGCGTTGGCGTCGGTGTGACAGGCTGGATCCAGCACTAGTCGATCGGACATGTAACGACTTCCTGGCTTCTGGTGGTAAATCCATTGTCGTGTGCGTTCGTGTGGCGTTCCAGAACACGATGTCTCCCAACTCGTCTCTCAGAACTCGCCTTTCTGAGATGCAAATCGGTGTCTTATCGCGCTGGTAATGATGGAAGTCGTATCTGAAAGACAAGACGGTGCTTACTGGGTAATTCACTCTCTACCAACTCCACAGCACAAATGAGCCTGGCATGGGTGCTATCGAGATATCCCGCCCTGAGCGTGTTTCCGACCTCCAAGCCCCACCAGAGCACGGCCCTGACGTCCTCGGAACCCTGCGAGCCTCTTCTTCTGGGCCATCCTACTCACATTCGCATGACACTCTGGGCCTGGGCTCATGAGTACCGCCGGAGAGGAACAGTACCCTGTCTTCCACATGGCACATCTTCGGACGAATGTGGAGTGCCTCAGTGTGGCACCCAGAAGACGAGTTGAGGGGGAGTATAAGTATCACAGCGACCACCGGCAAAAAGGAATCACCACCACCATCACATTCATTCAGTCTATTCTTGCTTGAAGCATCCACTTTCGCTACCTCTTTCAGAGACTTACATTCTTTATACATACTTTGTTCAAAGCATCCTCTTCGACTTTCCAGTTTCGATCTACCAACTCAACCGTCAACATGAAGTTCTCCATCGCCATTGTTGCTGCCATCACTGGCTTCGCCGCTGCCGGCCCTGCCGCCGTTACTCCTAGCGAGTTCTCCTCCTTCGCCAAGCGCGCCTCCCTCCCAATCCCCGCCTCCAAGGGCTCCGTCACGTACAAGGCTCCCCAGCAAGTCAGCGGAACCTTCGATGGTGGCATGAAGACCTACGGCCGTGGTGCTAGCTGCACTGGCCAGGTCGAGGGCGGTGACAAAGACGCTGTCTTCCTCATCAAGAACGGCGGAACTCTCAAGAACGCTATCATCGGAAAGGACCAGATCGAGGGCGTCCACTGCGAGGGTAAGCATCCTCCCGTACAAACAACGAGTCATAGATACTAATCTGAACCAGGATCCTGCACCATCGAGAACGTCTGGTGGGTCGACGTTTGCGAGGATGCGCTTTCCCTCAAGGGTGACGGAAACGCCATGATCAAGGGCGGAGGTGCCCAGGCCGCTGATGACAAGGTCATCCAGCACAACGGAAAGGGCACGGTCACCATTGACGGCTTCAGTAAGATCCCCGACACTACGACCCTCTGAACACCACTAACACCCCCCAGCCGTCATGAACTTCGGCAAGCTCTACCGTGCCTGCGGTAACTGCAAGAACAGCGTCGCCCGCTCCGTCGTCATCAAGAACGTCAAGGCCTACAACGGAAAGGTCCTTGCCGGTATCAACCCCAACTTCGGTGGTACCGCTACCATCTCCGGCACCTGCGCTACTTCCGTCAAGACCATCTGCGAGGAGTTCAAGGGTACCAAGCCCGGCTCTGAGCCCAAGTCCGTCTCCAAGGGTCCCTCCGGCAACTGCAAGTACACTGCTTCCGCTGTCAAGTCTTGCTAGACGATTATTTCGTCTCGCTCCATACTTTAGTCGGGTGAGAGTGTCGTGGTCATTGGAGATGACTAGGTGGTAGATGTGGATTTTGGAAATTTTGAGGATTCTTTGTATATATAACTTTTGCACACATGCAGTGCATGTAATCAACTTGCTTCAGCACATTTCTGTTCTCCACATTACAGTGATCCCAATGTTACCTCAGGCGCCTTTGAGTTTGTTGGTGTGATGCTAAAGCGACAGCGAGGGTGCGACGACTACTCCACAATTGATCGCTGTCCTGCCTAGTCACAGGGCGAGGCATACAAAACTACTGCGCCACGGCAAGGCGTTGTCGTTGAGGTTCATCGGTCAGTCTCGGCGTTACTGGGGAACTTTTGTAAGATTGATTAATCTATCGTCGGCTACCTGCACCTCATTAATCTAGTACGGAAGCATCGGAGCTAATGCCTGGGCAGATGAAACACAGTGAGTCTTCTCAAAGCTGTAAAGATCGGCGGTAAGATAGGTGGAGAAGGGTATGACTTTTGGCATTGAAGTTGAAGACAGTAACACGGTTACTGCTTGCGACACAGGCCCGCTACATAATTTGAAAAGGCGCTGTGTGTAGCAACGCGCTTTTGGTTTGAAGGAAACGACAAGCTCATAGGAAAGAAATGGAAGATGTAATACAAGTAAGCGGGGCTGCGACGTCATCGCTGACACTGCGCCGAGCTTTGAAAAGAAGAACAGAAAGCAATTAACTCCGCCACCCTGGGTATAAAGCGCCGGTAATATGCAAGACAAAGGAGCAAACCATCATGCGCCGCTACGCTTCTTCACAGGCGCTTTCTTGCGAGGCGGTTGGCCCGCCGGGTCCTCCGCAACGAAGGTCTCTTCGCGAGCGCGCTTCTTGCCCCTCGAGGCCTTCTTGACCTTTGTGGACTCTTCGCTGTTGGAGCCCTCCTCGCTGTCCTGTTGTTTTGCCTTGTCGTTTTTGTCATCGCCGCCGGGAGAAGTTGTTGTGCTGCTTTCTTGCTTCATCACCTTCTTACCTGCCTTGATCTGATTGCCTTTGTTGACGTTGGCAGTCTTGTTGGTCGCCGTGCGATGGATCAGGTTGCGCGGGTTGGCGATGATGGTATAGAAGCGGGAACCCTTCATGATATCTTGACAAGACGTCTTGGAGTACTGTGTACGGTTAGCATCAAGCTGTGTAATTATCAAGACAAAGTACTTACGTGAAGCAGTTCCCGAAGACCTTCAAATCGATCTTCAAACGTGTAGAACTGGGTAAGCTGACATTGCTCACGCTCGTTCGAGTCAAAGATCTGCTTGGTCCAACCGTCGGTGTGGATTTTGATAAGCTCTTTCTATGTTACGTTAGTGATGGCAGAGGCATACACTTCGGTTTAAACTTACCACAAGCAGGCCAGCAGCTGCATTGTATTCTTCCGGGAAATAGTACTTGGACTTAGAGTTCCACCGATTGTTCGATGACTTGACATCGGCCTTCTCCCGGATGTTTACGACGTTGTGCATTGCCGTGTCAAGAGCATCGACGCATGCCTTGATCTCCACTTCTGTTGTAGGAATGCTCGTATCGTTGGCAGGCGCCTTCCACATCGTACCACTGAACTCAACTCCAGTGTTGGTACGAACCATGGTGATAGACTCGCCCATCTGCCCATCGATACTGAATTTTTCCTTCAACTTCCTGATCGCGGCCCGGGCTTGCTTCTCTTTGTCAAGGATATGCTTGGGTGTACTAGGTTTAGCAGCGCCCGCGCCGTCAGCGCCGTCAGCAGCTTGCTGGCCAGTTCCAGCGTCCTTGTTCTCGGACTGCTGGGGAACAGATGCGTCACCGGTCGCTACTGTGGGGTGCGTGACGGGTGCGCGATGGTTGGTGACAGGCGGGTGGTGCGCCGCCGATGTATCAGGAGTCGCGGATGTGAGTGATGGCGCTGATCTACTGCGTGATTCAGGTACATGTTGCGGCCCTGGTAATCGTTGTGGGCCTGGTGGATGTCGCAGCTCTCCGTACTGCCAGTCTGGTGCACGTTGCGGTCCTGGTGCTTGTGGGGACCATGATGCATATTGCGACCGTGAGGTCGGGCGGGCGACTTCTCCGCGTGGAGTCATTGGTCCACGAAACGTTGATGACGGGTGGCCTGCTGTTGACGGGTAGAGCGTGAATGGCGCGTGACCCGGCTCTGGCACAGGGCCTCCGAGATGTGCGAGTGCGTGACGAGAGTCTGGTCCACGATGAGGTGGTGGCGTGATAGAGGGCGATGATGCAGTGCTCAGAGGCTGCGCATAGCCTGGCGGCGGTCCTTGCATCCTGGATGAGCGGCTTGTATGTGATGTATGAACAGGCGCTGATGAATAGTTCCGAGGGATTCCAAGGTCTTGCACTTGCCTATGGCCCAGCGCTGGGTCCCGACGTATGAAAAGCGGACGGCCGCTCGATGACGCAGGGGTCGGCGTTGAGATCTGATTCCCGAATGGCGCATTCGCCGACCCACTGATCGAGGTGGGCGTTGGTGTACGATCATGCGCTAAGACTGGACGTCCAGTGTTTTGCACTGGGTTAGGAGCAGTCGGGGGATACGTAAAGTCGTTTCCCAAGCTGCTGGGCGAGCCTAGAAGAAGTCAGTGTGAGCGCGCGAGACAGAGTGTATATCATATCGACTTACCGAAGGCTACGTTATTCTCTGGCTGATACTGTTGGCCAGCCTCTAGGTGACTGTAACCTCCTTGCAAGTTCCAGTCAGCGGCCGACTGTCCTGGTACGCTGTCGCTAGAAGTGTACATGTTGTCTTGGAAGTTAGACCAGTTGCTGTTGTCTACGGAGCTCTCAGAAGGGTAGATTGGCCAGTTGTTGCCGTGATAAAACTCGCTGGGATCGTTCTGCCTGAAGCCGTCCTGTTCGATGGAGCCAGGATGTGTTGAAGCTACCGGCGCGATAGAAGAGCTCGATGAAGTAGGGTTCTCCTGCATGAAATTCGCAAAAAAATCGTAGTCGATTTCCTCGGTGATTGAGCCGTCGTTGTTCATAGCGGAGGGGTCGCTGGAATTCATTGTAGAGATGTCGTCGTCGTATACAATGAATCTTGTGGGTTGCAGTTGTGAATCGAAGTGGTTGAGGGGGGTAATCTTTCCTTGAGAGTTCGAAATGGAGCCCCAGAAATACTCTCACGGGGGTACCACGCGCTAGGAGTTTGTTTGTGGCGCGGAGCAGAGGGCTCCCAACTGGGATAGAGTGGGTCGAAGGGTGAATCACGTGTTCACACGGCGGTCGCTCCAAGGCGGGGGAGGGGCGATTAAGGAGGAAATCACTGTAGCGCCAAGCCCAAAGCGTGAGGGCGACCGAAGTGTTCATGCAGGCGGCAAAACTAGTAGCGATACTACGTATCAACTTTGGCGGCATCGCGCTGTTTCTTGCTAGCCAAGTATATAAACTCAACTAAACCAAGTATAAGTAAGCCAGAGCCCCTCGAAGCTGTCTAATATAGCGAAATGTAAGTGCAAGACTCCTACTGTCGACTGTATATATCTCTTTCTAGGCTTGTCCTGCTGCATCCTTTCCGCCGTACCATTCCAAATGGTACGAACTTGGTGAATGGGGTTTGAAAGACAGTCCTCAAGGGGATGTGAAAGAGCAAGGAAAGCGAGATTGCTTGCGGGACCGGGAAAGACAGCTTACCCATAAGTGTTCGAGGATTCCACGTCACTACTTGACTACTACCGCCCAGGTGTTTGTCTCAACCGACAAAGCACTCCCAAATGTTGCACTCGACAAACTATTCCAGCAAACGCAAAGACTCTTCCAAGATCAACCCTGACAGCTGCGCCGCTCAACCGAGCATGCTCGCTTCGCCTGGAATAGTAAGCGGGAGACGACAATACCGACTCAACTAACCTCCAGGTAGACGTTTGCTGTGTCGTGCTGCCTCAACCAAGGCATGCCAAATGGAGCAACCAAGAAACCCGATCTCTATTGGACTTTCAGTCGGATCAGAGAGCTCAAGACAAAGAAAGCAAGTCCATCCATCAGCCGCTCGGTAGCTTATGACTCGGACGGTATTGTGTCTTTGACGGCACGTGCTCGCTGAGTTTTTGCGACAAGAACTTCCTTCGAAATCATGCCGAAGGCCGCGTCTTCAGTTATGAGATCTGAAAAGGAGAAGTTGAGCGATTGAATGTGATGGCGACGCGGAGCGAGCCCATCAACCTGCAGTCGCTGCAGCCGCGCGTTCGCCGCGGAGAGTGGCGCATCGCGACAGTCCGAGGAGCATTCCCTGGACATGACTGCACTCGATGAAAGCTTACAGAAGTGTGCAGCACCAGTCCTCGAAAGAAGCAAGAAGCGGCCGTGCACCAGGCGGAGTACATGAAGGTTTGTCGTTGATTTTGAGGTGGGATCAATGCGCGCTAGCGACGGCGAGCCTGCCCCTCGTTCCTGCCTTCCTTCTCCGCAACCTACAACTTCATCCGCTTCCACCCAACATCGACAGCATCGTCAATCTCGCCACCGCCGGGACCTTCTCTGTATTGGTACTTTCACCCACTTGAGTGGCAATGAACTGTGTCCTCATGTGACAACGATCCAACCATTTCCCGACGTTGGCTTCGATGGCTGTGCTGCCATAAAAGTCGACGGGCTACGCCGACGCCCACCACCACCACCGCGACCCTCACAATGCTGCACCGAACGCGATCTTGCCAACGCTTCTCCGATTGAGATCATCGGGAACACAGGCCCAGCTGACAGCGTGGTACCGTCACTGCCCTTGTGACGAGTCTGATGACCGCCATCGTCCTAGACAAACATGACAAACATGCCAAGGCAACATTCCCTCCTTGCCGCGCACCAGCCAGTTTAGGTATGCAAACTCATTGCACTTCGAAACCTTTTGCACTCACACTGACAACCACTAGCATCCAACTCTTCCCCACACACCGCGATGGCATACCACGTCGTGGTCGTGCGGCTACCGATGCCTTCTAGCCATTCAACTGGCGCAACCACGACTGCACCTCACCGAAGGAACATCTCCTAAGCAAGAGCGACTTCCAACGCGAGAATACTGTACTCAAGTGTAATGAGAGTACCCTCTTCCACCTTCTCTTTTCCCGGTCTCGTCCCTGATCAAAAATGTCCACCTTCCCGCAGGGTAAGGAGGTCACATGACGCATCCCGCCTGGACCGCTCTTGCTTGGAAAGACCCCGGTGATACCTGAAAGAAGGGACTACAATATCTCATGGTACTGTGTCGCATGAAGTGTACTGCTGCTTGCCAGTCTTGGTCGACGAAGATCCATTCGCGTCTTTATGATATGGACTTGCACATGCACTTGCAGGACATACAACGCCCCATCAAAAAGCCGGACAGAACGCGCGTAGGTCTGGCAAGACGGGCTTGCCCATGCATACGCGGGTCATACAACGCCTTATCGCAGATCCGTAGAGGTTGCAAGGCGCAGGTCTGGCAAGACGTTGCTTTGTCGGAACCTGAATGGTATGTAGTCGGTTGCGCGCTCTGTCGCTGCCAGCTGCAATCGTACATGATGACGGGCCTGCGACGACCTCGCGGATCCGTATTGTCGCCAGTCTTCATGAGGATCCTATGGTACGCCATTAGCTCTTATGTCTTTCAGTTCAACAAGAAGTCATTCTATGCAAGGTAGTCAGTAGGTTAACACATGTCACAGGCAACATCGCACGCAGCAAGGCCACATCGCACGACGCCAACCTCGCCCAGTATCTCAGGCAAGACGGACCTCATGACACTACACGCTATCGACATGCAGCAAGTGCCATGAGGGCTTGTGGGTCGGGGCAATGGGTCGTGGGTGTAACAAACGCTCGGGTTCTAGGTGAATGCGAGGATGCCAAGACTCTCGGACGCACGTTACTCACGCCTGTGCTGTCCATACGCACGCAGCCCCTCCCCCCGGCAACAGGCAACGATCATAACAACAGACCTTCGTCTTCTTTCACAGAACGCACCTGATATCCTCTTGGCTTACAAATCGTCCGCGCTTGTCACAGGCGACCTTCATTTCCTACTTCACTCCGTCGTCGCCTGCGTAAGCAGTACACTAGATCCACTTCAATCCGCCGCACTCCGCGCATGATCTTTCACTAGCCCGGTGGTCAAGCCTTACGAACATAAAAATCGGGAGACTCCGCAGTTCACCCCCCACGCCATATAGATCTCAATCAAGCCTTCGAGTAAGTTCCACCAGAGCTGGAAAATAGGTGCTGGAGTTCACTAACAGGTGTCTTAGTTGCAAGCAGTAACCGTTGAAACCGAAAACCCCCACTACCAGCCCCAGGAAACCAACAACATGACCGACCACGACCCCGATAAGGAAACCCCCAAGGGCATAGCCAACAAGAACCTAATGGTGATCGAGAGCCAGACTGCATCTCCCTCAACTCCCGTTGGTGCTCGTGCTCCCGTTCCCTTCGGTCCTCCCATTCCCCGCCTTGCGGACACGCGCCTGGAAAAGGTCCCCGGCGGTCTCAAGGATCCGTCTCGCCTTAAGACCAAGATTTCCCAGCTTCTGGACAAGGACGGTGACTATCCAGAGGTCGATGGCTTCCGCTTCAAGACCCTAGAAGAAGCTAGGGCGCCCATGGACGAGCCTCAGTGGTATTCTCCAGAGGTCGACCCCTCCATCCCCGAGACCGACGCAGAGTATCGTAAGTTCGTCGAAATGTTGATGCTAGCTTTCAAGGATATGACCCGCGCCAAGGACACCCAGGGCAACGCTTACCGCAAGCGGCTAACTCCGGGTGAAGGTGTCTATTACCAGGACTGGGCTATTGAAGCGTGCTCCTGGGACATCGTCGGCATGGCCAAGGACATCCACCTGAACGGCTTCAAAGTTCGCATCTACGATAAGTCCATCATCGACAACATCAGCCAGACCAAGGACTGGACCTTCGGACAGCGTATAGAATGGATCTGTGCGGTGCTGAGGACCTCCAAGCAGATTGGCGTTACTCTGATGAAGAACGAGAAGACCTGGACTACTATTGGCGCTCCCCACAAGCTGTACAGTAGCACCATCGTCAACTGCGTCTCGAACGCGCACCGCGGCCAGTGGATCAAGGTCGGCCGTGACAACGACCAGCACCATCAGAATCGTCCGATTCGGGGTAGGCGTACTGCGGCTGAGATGATCGCGTCCGGTGACAACGATGACACTGATGATCCTGGAGCAACTCCGGGTTCTCAGATGATGTTACAACCGCGACAGTCGGCCCAGAAGCGCCAGAAGCGTAGTCAACCGGGTGTGAATGTCATTCGGCATGACCACCCAGCCATGGCCACTGACTCTGAAGGCGAGATGTCTCCCGGAAAGATGAAGAAGAAGCGCAAGACCACAACCCAGTACAACTCGTCATCCCCCACCTACGTTGTTCAGTCAGAGACTTCGGCATCTCAGCCGGACGAACAGTACCCTGGTGCTGCTATGGGCGTTACCTTTTCGAATGTACTTCCCGTGAAGCATGTCGTCGCTGTCCCCGTGCAAGCTGCTCGAAAGAATGGTGCCCAAGCTGATGATGTTGTCTCCAAGGATGCTTTCAGCAAGGACGTATTCAGCGAGGGTGCTAATGGCAAGAACGCCTCTAACGACGGCGGCGGCAATTCCAACAACGATAAGGGCAAGAAGAAGACCAAGCACACCGGTTTCGTCAACTACCACTGCGGCACCAAGGTCATGGACGAGCTTGACTCCGACAGCTCTGAGCTCTCCGATGCACCTGATGTTCTGCTCTCTCCTGGCTCTGCTTCTCCAACTCCTAGCCACAAGCAGAAGGAGCTGCTGGACGACCCCGAGGACAAGGTTTCCATTGAGGAGTACGCCAAGCTTCGGGGTGAAATGGATGAGCTGAAGGCGGCGCAAGCTGAGACCGACAAGATTTTGGCGGCACTCCGCGCGGAGAACGCGCGCTCGTTGGCCTCGTTCCATCAGGGCTCTTGAGTAGCTGAAGACTGGCGCAGAGAGACGCAAGCATCGAATGATCAAGTACACGTTTGGCCGTCCATGGAATGAGATGGATG